TTCCACCCAACTCTCATACTTTACTCTATAATCTCTTGATTCTCTTCTACATTTTACTTTATTGAGTTATAATCTTGATTTTACAATTTGTTTTCTAGACTACTACATAGTTTACATTTATTTCTCAATTCTACTTCCACATTCAATTTCAATTATTCAATCAATTATCACATTACAAATTTTCAATTACAATCTTACACGTAAACTTTGTTTCAATTCTTGATTTATTACTTACTATTCATTTTATATCAATTCACAAATGGATCCACTCTCAATTGTTGAAGGTTTGTTTGGTATCGGAGGCGAATCACCTATCACGCCGCAAAGTCAATTTCAAAATGAATTCGTCGGTCTAAATGAAGTACTTATTCCAGAAAATATTTCGGATTTCGATACTAATGGAAGTAGTAATCCAATTGATTTGGAAGACATTGATGTTTTCGAGGCAAAACGGGAGGGTGAACCTGAATTAGATATTCCCAATACAAGAAGAAAGAGAAATAGGAAGCAGACAAAATGTTGGGATCATTTTAAATTGATTCGAGTAGGCTGTGTGATTGATGAAGTTCCAGAATCTAAAACAGTATGTAAATACTGTCAACAATGATTGGTAAGACAAAAGGTATTGGAACCATCCACATCAACCATTACTACAAAGCATGTGCTGCCAAACATGAGCTTCTTCGTGCTGGTTAAACGTAACTACAATTTGGTAGCCCAAGCACCGATTCTACTGCTACGTCATTTTCTACGTGGATGTATTTGGATGAGAAAGTTCGAACGGGAATAATGAAATTCGTTGCCACTGCTGAGTTGTCTCTAGCAATTACGGACAACTAACATTTTGTCTCCTACGTGAAAGAATACTTTCAACCGAAGTTCGTTAGGGTAAGTCGAAACACTCTTCGTTACAATAGAATATTTTCTTTATACAAAGAAACTATTGATTGCTGATTTAGAAAAATATAAGGGTGTTATATCTTCAACTTCGAATATGTAGGAAGGGATTAATAGAAGAGGTTATATGACTACAAATGCACACAACATATGCCCACATTGATGTATGCATAAAAAAATTATTGCTTTTAAAATTATTGAGTTCCCTCACATCGCTAACAACATATATAATGTTATTATGAACATTGTTAGAGAGTATCGTTGCGAGAGTAAAAGTTGTTCATTTACATTCGACAATGGTACGTTTAATAAGGTAGTTATCGATAAATTGTGCAGAGTAATGCAGTCCGATTTCAATAGTTATTTGTTTCATATTCGATGTGTCTGCCATATTTTTAATTTAATATTGTAAGACGGTTTAAAACATATTAAGAATAAAATTCAAAGAATTAGGAATCCACTAGTGTATATCTCGATTTCACCTAGTAGAAAACAAGTATTTGAGGAATTTTGTGAAAAATCTGGGATAAAGCATACGAAAACATTTATTAGTGACGTAAAGCATAGATGTAATTCCACTTACTTATTATTAAAATCATGCTAAAGTTTTAAACATTTAATAACTGGATTTTATAACAATAGGTATATTAGAAACAATGACGATACTATTTTGAATGAGTCCGATTGGATGTTAGCTTTTAAAATTAAAAAAATTTTGAAAATTTTTTATGATTCTACAAATATTTTGTCTGGAATTTATTATCCCATTGTTTGTATGGTCTTTAAAAGTCTTTATATAATTGTTATGGCTTTTCATAGATATAAAAATGATCCCAATTTTAGTGCAATTATATATTATTGTTATGGCTTTGCATATATTATTTTCGTTAGCATACATCATGGACCCTCGATATAATTTATCGTGTACTAAATTTGTACATATCACTTATAAAAATTTAGAACAAACTTTATATGAAATATATGAATTATATGTAAAACAAATGGGTACAAATAGTAATCAGGTACCCTCTGGCTCTGCACCCACTCCTCCCATTGATATACTAATAGAAAACGCTGAAGTTTTAACTTTATTCGNGCTGAACGAATGCGTACAAATATTAATCGGGTACCCTCTGGCTCTGCATCTACTCCTCCCATCGAATATACCAGAAAATGATGCTAAAGTTTTAAATCTTTATTCGAAGGCATTAACTCATATAGATATAATTCAAATGCATGTGGTTCATCTAGTAGTAGTTTGTCTGCCGCATGTAATCAAACATCGGACGCAAGTCCAAATGTGTTGTATGCTGAATTAATTTATTACATTAATCATAATATGTTTAGTAACAAAATAATTAAGAAAAGTTCAGAAGAAGTAATTGAATTCTGACGAAAGTGCAAACGTTGATGACCAGTAGTTTCTGCGATGACAAAAAACCTACTAACACCTCCAGTTAGCACTATAGTTTCAGGGTCTGCTTTTAGTGCAGGTAAGAAGGTTCTGTCTGAGGTCAGGAGTTGACTGAAAGAAGATATTTTGGAACCATTAATGTACGTGAAGGACGACAAGACAGTCATTTTCGACTACAAAATAAATATACTGAAATTGCATCTCGTCAAATAAGTGATATTTAATTTGACTATATTCATCAATTTTTTTATTTTATAATACATTTATAATTTTTTTATTTTATAATACATTTATAATTTTTTTTAAAAAAAATTGTACACTTAACAAGTTATTCATGTACAATTTTTAACTCCACTTACTCGAAATTGAAATAGTCGGTCATAAGTCTGGATAAAGGAGGAGGGTGTATCTTTTTTT